TTTAAGATTAAAGTTGCAGAAAAACTAGAAATATGCAAGCCCAAAATCTCTATTAAGTATTATGGAGCTGCGCAACCCATGCACTCCCACTATCTCAAAAAAAAAATCTTACAATATCTAATGCATCGATTGTTTTATTACAAATTAGGACATTCTATTTGAACAGAGCGGCATTCACATAGTCGACTCACATATTTTGGAATATGAAAATGAAGATGTTGTGCAATTATGATGGTAAAGAAGCCCAACATCACCCCTAGAAGTAATTTTACACAAATTACCACATAAATAGAAAGAAAACCGTAAAATATACCTATCATAATGTATTATAAGTTATATTAGAAAATAATTTATTCTTCTTAGAAGTTATGAGGATTAGATTAATTATTTTTTATTGGATTTATTTCCTCAGATTAGATTTATTTCCATTTCTATTTTAGGTTTTCTTATTTTATATAGTTTCCTTTATCTCCAAGTAATTATTATGAAGTGATTAATTATATATATAGGTGGTATACCTTTTCTTTCATGTTATTTCATTTTTCTTGTTTTTCAGATTCTAGAATTCACGAAGGGTATGTATACCCCCTTCCATATCAATAAAATAATTCTAATGAATTCTGAAAATCAATATTGTATCAAAGTCTTGAAGCAAATCTTAGAGTCTCCTGTCGCAAGAAACTTCCTATTCCCTGCAACCGACAATCTTTGTTGTACTGCAGGCTCTTCCTCCGCTTCCTTTTTTCAAATTTTTTCCTGAAAATTTCCTCTCCCTGCAGACCCGCTGCCAAAATTTCCTTCGGCAGCCTTTCCAGTTGCTAACTCCTTCCCCTGTAGCCCACCAGTCATCAGAACTCTCTCCCTGAAGGCTCTAACCGCTGGAACTCCTCTCGTTGCAGACCCTAGCCTCCGGACTCCTTCCTGTGGGAACTAGCCGTCGGAACATCCTCCAGGCCATCTACTGCTTTTTTTTCCGCCAAAGACCACTTCTTCCCACTTAGAACTCCCGTCCCTGCAAGATTCGACGGCGGGATTCATTGATGACTCTCCCCCGTTGCTGGCTGGAAGCTTCCGCTGCTGTTGTTTTTTTGCTAGTTTCTGTACAAGCTTCCCTACTATTTCCTAACAGGTTTTGCAGTCTTTTTGTTGTTTCCATGTAGCCTTTGCTTCAACCACTGCAGCACATACGATTCAACCATCATCACCGCGACTATTCTTCTCATCTGCGGCAGCGGCGAACCCCACTGCTAGCTCTCATTGTCGGATTACGATCGTTGTAGAAGTGAGCGAAGAAAGTGCCTACACTGTGAATTGGGTTTGTCCATAACTATCTTCAACCTAGTGATGTCGTCATCCTCCTTCATGTTCGCTCCACTTTTGTTAGGGTGTTGACGGGGGATCGGGCTCCTTTTTCGTTTCAGAGGTTGTGGCTGCCACTGAAGAGGATGACTCCCGAGCAGTCGCAACAGGAAATTGAGGAAGATTTTGACGCCTCACTTTCACCAAAGCACAGCATCTCGCCCAGCCACTTGTAAGTTTCATATCCCCTTCAAGCGCCACATTGTAAAGGATCGTGACATGAAGGAGAGGCTCTAACTTGAGGTAGAGAGGCTTGGGCTCAGTGTTGTTAAGGCGTCTAAGAGGAGAGGCAAAGGGAGGCTTGGTAGCGTCAGCGATTATTGTATTCACCACTGTGATTGTCCTGTAGAGATAGTGTGGTACCCTGACCTATTTGCAGTGGGCCTAATTGAAGATGCATGCTATAATTGCTACTGTGATTAAGAAGGCTCCGAGGCCTTTTTTTTCTATAGCAAGTGAGCGAAGAAAGTGCCTACACTGTGAATTGGGTTTGTCCATAACTATCTTCAACCTAGTAATGTCGTCATCCTCCTTCATGTTCGCTCCACTTTGTTATCTATGGTGTTGACTGGGGATCGAGAGACATTTTCGTTTCAGAGGTTGTGGCTGCCACTGAAGAGGATGACTCCCGAGCAGTCGCAACAGGAAATTGAGGAAGATTTTGACGCCTCACTTTCACCAAAGCACAGCATCTCGCCCAGCCACTTTTAAGTTTCATATCCCCTTCAAAAGCCACATTGTAAAGGATCGTGACATGAAGGAGAGGCTCTAACTTGAGGTAGAGAGGCTTGGGCTCAGTGTTGTTAAGGCGTCTAAGAGGAGAGGCAAAGGGAGGCTTGGTAGCGCCAACGATTATTGTGTTCACCATTGTGATTGTCCTGTAGAGATAGTGTGGTACCCTGACCTATTTGCAGTGGGCCTAATTGAAGATGCATGCTATAATTGCTACTGTGATTAAGAAGGCTCCGAGGCCTTTTTTTTCTATAGCAAACCTTTCTCCAAAGCTTTTTTTCCTGCTGCAACCCAACCTTAGGTGTTGTTCCCTATAGCAAGGCCTTTTTTAAAGCTTTTTTCTTGTCACAACCCTACCTCCAGTGATTTTCCCTGTAGATGGCCCTCCTCCAGACTTTTTTTCCTGCAGTAGGTCCTCCTTCGAAGCTTTTTCCTGCAGTAGGCCTTTCTCCGGAGCTTTTTCCTGTAGTAGGCCTTTCTCCGGAGTTTTTTCCTGCAGTGGGCCTTTCTCCAGAGTTTTGTCCTACAGTAGGCCCTTATCCGGAGTCTTTTCCTGCAACAGGCACTCCTCTATAGCTTCTCCAACTACATGCCCTTTCTATGCCCATACTTACAGGCCATATCCAGCAGCTTTTCCCGCAAGCGTCATACCCTTCAACTTTCCTTGCAAGTATTCTCTTTTTTCCAACAAGTCATACCCTGCAGCATTCCTTGTAGGGGTTCTTCTTTTTAACCTACAAAACCATAACCTGTAGCTTTCCCGCGTACTTCCTTTTTACCTGTAGGCCACACCCTGTAGTTTTCTCTGCAGATGTTCTTCCTTTTGACCTACAGGTCAGGCCCTGCAACTTTCCTTGCAAGCGTTCTTTTTTTCCCTGCAGCAATACACAGCCGCTTTCCTTGTAGGTTGTCTACTTCATCGCAAACTTTCTTGCAGCATTACTTGTAGAAACATTTCGTCTACCTACAGACACTACATAAACTGTAGTTAAATACAACAACAGTTAATTAGAAATATCCCTAAATGCTTGGGGTGATACAAGTATTGGATGAAGACTTCAAGTTCTACCTCAAGAATCTTTCTCGCTCATTTTTTTATATTTTCAAATCCAAGTTGAGCATGGTTGTCAACTATGCTTCAACTTGAAAGGGAGTATTAGAAATTATATTAGAAAATAAATTATTCATGTAAGAGTTATGAGGATTAGATTTTTTTTCTTTAGATTGAATTTATTTCCTTAACTATTTTAGATTTATTTTCTTTCCTATTTTATGTCGTTTCCTTTATCTCCAATTAGTTATTATAAATTGATTAATTTGACACATAATTTTTATATATTTCTTTTCATGTTATTTCATTTTTTCTTGTCTTTCCTATTCTAGGATTCATGAAAGGGTATATATACCCCCCCCCCAATCCCCCCCCCCCCCCTTCTTCCCCCCTTTCATATCAATAAAATAACTCCGTTGAATTCTGAAAATCAATATCATGTGAATCAAGCAAAGTTTAGATTTAGAAAAAAATAAAAAAGTCAAACTAATTTGCAGGACAATCTGTCTCTACAAATATAATCAAAGATAAAAGCAATATACTGAAAGCATAACGCGCCAAAACTGATTACAGCATACATGACGAAATTAAAATAATTAAAGACCTCAACGTCTTTCAGCGATGCAAGTGCTACACATGCTCTGGACAATAAGAAATCTCCAGCAAGCACAGCAACCTGCAAAAAATAGTACGTATTTTTCATTCAATAGAGTAGCTTTCATCCATACAAAAGAAATGGGCAGCAGCGAACACGCCAAAAAAGGGATATCAATGGAAAAAAAGAACAAAAGCAATATCACCAGAGGCCGAAAACAATACTCAATAGAAATGATTGAAGAAAAGATTCAAAAAGCCAAACACATATTTGGTATGATGCTAATGAAATGATTATGAAGTCTTAAACTATTTTAAATAAATAATTTAACAGATATAATATGAAACACTTAACAGATTATTCTTAGCTATCAGTTTTATAGCCACAATACACGCAATTGAAAAATGTTGGTTATGCACTTTTCCCTAGAAAGATTGAGTATTTCCAATGTATACAAATTTGACGATGATTGTCATGCATGACATCAATTTAAAGAATATAAGGACATCTCAGAGCAGGAACACTTGGCCCTTTCCTTGCATGATCCAAATCCTTCAATGGGGGAGCCATGGCTATTAGCAAAATAGTATAGTCGATGAACAACTCCATTCACATTCATATAAGATTTATTTATGTTCACTTACTTAGATGATTGAACAACCTAAAATAAAATTTTTAAAGCTAAAAATATAAATGAATAATAACAAACATTGGCTCACTTATTATTTCTATTCCTAAACATTTTTGTTTGTTGTTAAGAAAGTACCTCTTTAGAGCTTAATAACAATGATAATCTAGTGATGATTTAGTCCCTCATTTAATGACTTGTACTGTGCTCTAGAATCATTTTTTTTTTATAAACCATGCATTTTCAAAACTATGTACGCTCTTACCTATAATTCTATTATCATGTAAGAAATAAAATTAAACAGATAGATTAAAGCTATGTATTGGTGCAAGTGAATGGGTAGTCCCAAACAGAAGCTTGATACTAGGCTTTGTTGCTTTGGCGTGGAGAATTGGCAAGCTTATAACTGTTACTTAGGGCAAGCAGAAAAGTTTAAGAATGGTCAATGCTTTGGTAAATAAATGTGCCAATTTTCTGACCTGGCCTACTCGTTATTTAAAATCCTCAAGTTGTTTCACATCATGCTTCCCACTTGTTTATTTAAGATTCCTTAAAGGCTCATAACATGTAAATTGTTAGGTTCACTAGTCTGATTTTAATCCATACACAGATAGTAAGTTCACGTTGTTTTCTAATCGATGGCCAGTTTTGCTGTGCAGAAGTTGTCCAACAATACTGATCATAGAAATTTATTGAATCTCATTCAAGCTGGATAGTCAACAAACTTCAAATTTGGTCAAATTTACCCAACATGCTCCTATGATGCTATGCCTGTGAAGCTTTATGAAATAAAATCTATCTCCTTCACATAAATCAACTAGGTGGCTCAAACCATAAGAAAAAAAAAAGATGTAATGAAGCTTGGACATGATTTTTAAAGCTCAACTCTTTCTTGATTGTTCTAGGAAAAAACATGGTTGAGAAAGGATCAGCACAGATTTTTCCATCTGTCACACGTAAATGAGAGAACTACATGTGGTGAAGTACTGGCATCGATATCATCAAAATAGATTGTACCCATAAGATATTTATAATATAAATTCTTGAGAGGTTGTTACTAATTAATAAATTGACAGAAATTACAATTCAACAAACAACATGAAACTTCATCCATCTGTAACATTAACGGCATTGATAGAATATCATATGCTGATTATTTTGGTTGGCATAAGTCAAAGAAGTTCTTCTCAGCTAATGGAGTACAGTAATCACCTTGTTACCCATAAAGGAGTTCAGGGACCGTATACCACGCCTTGTTTCCGCATCATCCAAAACATCGTCATGGAGAAGGCTTGCCACCTAGGATGACAAACGGGAAGAAAGTTCAAAACTAATACATCCACAAGTTAACTTTTATGGAGACAACTACATTTTCTGTAACATAAATTAAAAAAAAAAACATAAGTGTATTGAATGACCGCCATTCAAAATCATAAACGGCAATGTTTTGAATCATTGACATGGATCATCTCAATA